AGGGTGGATAGCATGTCCCAGGTCACACAGCTAGGGATGGTGGCACTGAGCTAGAAGCCCTTTATCTTACTGCCTTGAAGACTGTGACATCATGTTTGACGATTCTAAGATTCACTGTGTGTGTAGCCACACTCAGAGAAGAAGCTGGGAGGAAGAGATGGAAGAAGGAGGGGGAGCCAGGGCGGGCTGTAGGGTCTCAAATCTGGCAGAAGCGCAACCCATGCCTGTGGGTGGGGGTGAGGTGAGCAAGGGGCTGGCCAGAGAGCTTCTCTGGTGAGTGCCATGTAAACCAAGTGGCAGTTGGAAGAGTTGTGTGGGGCCTATAGTTTATCAATGGTACCTTAGCAATAGCCAGGTTTTAGGAAGGACCACAGGCCTCAGGAGCTCAAGGAACACAGACCCTGCCTGTGTGTGTGCGTGTGTGTGTGTGTGTGTGTGGCGGGGGCTCTGTGTCAAAACCGAGGGCAGAGGGACTTGTCTGGGGCTGATAGGGAGTCAACAGCACAGCATTCCTATAGAACAGCCATCCACCTGGGCTCTGCAGTGACTGGCTGGTGCCTAGGAAAAAGCCCTCAGGCCCTCAGGCCGTCCAGGCTTGAGCTCCATATCTTTAAGATGTCCCATTAGTCCCAGTCTTAGCATCAGTGTGCTGTCTTTGAAGATACCTGATCCTTTTTAGGAAGGAGGCACATAGCTTGCAGGCCCAGGGACAGCTCCAGTGAACACCTCTCAGGGCACAAGCATGGGGAGAAGCTTAAGTATGTTCTCACACAGATGGGCACCTGTGCCCATGACTAGGAGGGCAACGGGCAGAGAGTGGAAGCGGAGGAAGCAAACCCAGACTGGACAGGAAAAGGATGGCTTTCATCCTCTTGGAGAAGAGGATGGACACTTCTGAGCAGAAACTGCCTAGGGAATATGTGGAGGCCCAGCAGAGGCTGTGCATTCTCCCTGCCCTCCGCCCAGGCCTTCTCTTCTGCCTTAGACCCCTGATACTAGTCTTCCTAAGTTTCAGGCCAAACAGGGCTTTCTGAAGTCCAATGCGGCCCAAGGGGAGTCTCAGGTTCCACTCTCAGGTCTGTAACCCTGTCGGGCATGCTGCTATCTCCACCCTGAAGTGAGGAAGGCTGGGGCCTTAAGACGCTGCAATCACTTAGGAGAAAGGAACCGTTGGGAAGTGTAATCTGCCCACCAGACTGAGAATGACACTGGTTTCCCTCCTGTCTTTCTGTTCATCCTCCCCCAGGCCATGCCCTTTGCTGCCAGAGTAGGGAGGGAGCAGGAGCCAAGTTGTGGTTCTTCTCCTATGAATGAGGAAACTGAGGCTGGCTGACCGTCAAAACTTCTCTGGCTCCAAACACCCTTATCTTCCTGCCACACACCCGGGAGGTCCCTGAGCCCTGTGAAAACCACACACCAGGTTTCACAATGGGCACCAAACCAGGTGTGGAGCCTTGTGTGACTCTCCAGACCATGTGCCCATGGGGCCAGCCCGGCAAAACCTCCTTCCTGGGAAGAGAGACTCTTGCTTTCCTGAAACCAGGGACTCTAGGCAAGGCTGCCCAAGGAAGACAATGGGGCACTTGGAGCTTTTGCCTGTCATTGCAGTTGTGAGGCCTGAGCTGCACTGTGCACACACGGGCTGGAGCATCCTTGCTGGTCCTACAGGGCAGAGGGACCTGGGCAGGTGAGTCCTTCAGGCATCCTTGTGGGCTGATGAGGCAGGGGGAATAGCAGTGTGGAAGGCACATACCCAGGGAAGGGAAGAGACAACGAGAAAAGTTACAGACCTTCAGGATTCTGCACCTCAGGTAAGGACCCAGCTCTGCCTAGAGCCAGATCCTGGGTTCAGATCTTGCTCCTACTGTCCTCGGGTGATACTGAACCACAGTCACCGCCCCCCCTCCCAACTGTGACTGCTGCCTCTGGGCAACCTCAAGGAACCTGAGAGCCCCTGGGAAAGCCACTTGGAGGAGGGAAGGGCATGACAGCCAGAGGCACTGAACCAGCGAGTGGTTTAGATCTGGGCTGGGGAGTAGTTTCTTCCTGAAAGATGGAGGCTTTTAGAACAATGGCAGACTGAAGCAATGGGATCCTGGGAACTTGAATTGTTCAGCCCCAGTGCCTGGTGCCCCACAACACTGAGTATCATTCCATGTCATGACACAGCACAGCTATTAGATGCACATGACGGGCGTCAGCATAGTTATATGACAGGACACTGAGGCCCACAGCAGGTACACCAGAGAGAGCTATCACTGTCCCTACTGTTGGCTCAAATCACTACTGATGAGGCTCCTACAGGCACAGAGCCCCACAGTGCCTCCTGTGAAGGTACTGAGAACCAGTGGAATCAAGGGGGCAGTGGGACCTCCAGAAAAGGGTCAGTAAATGCTGTCCTGCCCCAGCAGGTGGTGTTAAGACCTGTCACACAGGCCCAGTGTTCTCACGTGCCTCTTCCCTGGCCTCTGCAAGCAGTGGCAGAACAGCAGAGGCTCCTGACACAGCTGCATCTAGCACAGTACCTCATATAAACCACACAATCACCACAGTGTCCCCACCAGGACAACCTGGGGTGACAAGTGCTTCTAAAACTGGGAGGGCAACAGACTGGCATGATTTAACTTGGGTCAGAGCCCTGAAAGCCACATGCCCGCTCAGATGTGCAGTCTTGGGTAGGCTGTGCCCCCAGTTCCCTTTGGGTAGAGCAGAAGCCCTCCCGTGCCTAGGACTGCAAGCTCCAAGCAGATCCAGCATGGCCGCCACCAGGCACAGAGACCAGCACACAGGGACATACACACCTGGAATGTGGGTTGTGAGTTTGGTCAGATCTACCAGGAAAAGCTCCCCAATCCTGCCTGACATAGTAGGTCAACCAGTTCTCCGAAACCCTGAAACCTTCCCTTAGTCAGTGACCTTTTGCTGGCCTGTGGGTGGCTTTGTCTAGAATCAGGCCTGAGGCCCTGGCCTGGGAAGGCTCACAGTGACCCCTGCCGTCCACCACTGCAATCAGCCTCATTTCTCCATCCGCTGGGAGGCTAACAAAAGCAAGGCAGCGCCTGCCTGTCCGGGAGGAGAGGTTCCAGCTTCAGGGTTTCTGACCGCTTAGTCAGAACAATGGCGGAGGGGAAGAGACACCACATGTAAGCACATTCAGCAGACACTAATTCCCTGTCTACTAAAAAGAATATAATACACAGATCAAACAAAGCACCTTCTCTTGCCTTGCAGTCTTTTGTTTCCCCGGATAAATGTCATCCCCAATACGCTGTGGAACCAAGTGACACTGTCATCTTCCAGGGATGTGGTTCCCGATCAACACGCACGGTTCTTAGCAACTCCTTTTGATGTGGCAGCTGTGAGATTGGACTCTTTTTTTTTTTTTAAGAAGCAGAGCCACAGAAGGCAAGCACGGAGCCGGCACTCTCACTCGCCTTTTGGCTGATGCGCCGGATGTGGATACGTGAAAAATGTCCCCTTGCCCCCGACTGTGACCCATCTCACCAGGCACCACAGCTTAGGCATCAACAGGGGATGATATGTGGCGTCAACTGGGCTGATGGTGCCTGTGAATGCCCCCACCCCAGGGAATGGGGAAGAACATGGAGAGAGGGAAGGGTTTTGAAGCTGATTCCCCCAAACAGCGTCCTGCCTCTTAACCTCACAGCGAGAGTAAAGACACAAGTCTCATGAAGATAATTCCCTCTCCAACTTAGCACTCATCACGTAGCCATTGTCTGTCTTGCAAGACACCGTTGGGTCACTACCAGAGACATCACCTGAGAAAGTGACAAGCAGCCGGGTGCTGCTGACGGAGCTCTTCCCTGGGCCTCTCTCTGTAGGCAGTGGCAGAGGAGAGGGGGGGACTCAAGCCCTGGAGTACTCTAAGACTCCAGCTGAGCCTCTGCAATTGGCATGGAGGGGTGAGCTCACACACTGGCTGTGAGAGCACATGCCTTGGGGTGCCTTCAAACCCAGCACCCTCTTCTCATGGGATCACAGAAATGTCTCCTTCAACTTGGGGCTTTGGGTAGAGCCATCTATGCAGCTCTCCAAACCAAAACCCCTCTGTTGTGAAGGTACGTGGCAGCCAGCCTGTGTGGTTAGCTTTTAAAGAGTCCACAAGTCCTTCTGGGATCCCCTATAAGAGTTCAGCTTGATGGGGGGGGAGGGTGATGGAAAGATGGCTCAGTGGGTAAGAGCACTGACAGTTCTTCAAGAGAACCTGGGTTCATTCCTAGCAGCTCTCAAGCATCTGAAATCTCCAGTTCCAGGGGATTTCACACCCTCCTCTGGCCTCTGAGGGCACTGAATGCACACAATATACAAGTGGAAGTAAAACTCTCATACGCATAAAATGAAAACATTGGAAAAAAAAGAACTCCATTTGACGGATCTTTCAAACCATGAGCAGAGTGAGCCTGACTAAATCTAGGCTCCAGCACATCATCATGGCCTGCAGCAATGCCTCTGTCCCTGCCAGTCTGTCTTTGACCATTACCTGCCTGGCCCCCAAGCTGAGGTTGACTCCTGTGCTAACAGACCACGGCCTGTGTTCTGTATGTAGGACATTCACTGTCCTCCCCAAATGGCTTTTCAAAGAGGGCAGCTGACATCAGCAGTCTTAATCCTATGAGGACATTAGGATCCTCTGGGGAGCTGAGGTGAAGGTCCCAGTGTCTGGGCCCCACCCTGAAGGGATGACCCTCCTAGAGCACACACAGTAAATGCCACAGGGGAACCACAGGCTGTAGCCACCAGAACTGCTGTCCCTCCTGATACGTGGTGACAGCCTTGGGGTACCGGCACACACACCCAGCTGTCCTCCTGCCTGAGAGGAACGGCCAGGGCACTCCTGCACTACAGTCCCTGAGATTAAAGGAGACAGACCAAGGGCAGTTTGAAAATCCCCATTGTGAGCTGCAGTGCCATGGTCAGGACCTGGGTGGCCTCTCAGCCTCCAAGGGGCACTGTGCCCACTGCCCAGTGCAGGGACCCACCTGAAAAGCTCCCGGATCTCCCTCTGGTTGGCCTGGAAGGGGATATTCCGCACCAAGATCTTGGAGGTCGTCTGCTTCTTGGGTGCTTGTTTTTTCCGAGTGGGTGTCAAGGCAGGCCTGGGGTGGGGTTGATGAAACAGCAGGTTATTTGAGGTGTCAACTGTTTGTGCCTAGACCACTCCTGTCACCTTCCCACACAAAACATCTCCCTGTCATTTCAAGTAGCCTGCAGAAGGGGCTGTGATGAAAACAGAGGATGTCAGCCTGTCCTCCACTCAGGGTGACAGGGACTGGAGTTACCTTCTCCCCTGAACTGCTGTGGCTCCCTGATCAATGCAGCCCACTGCTGCTGCCTTGTAACAAGGACCACGAGAAGGAACTTTACGAGGGAGGGCCTCCTGCATTTTGGGCCAGCACTTTGCCCCTGAGCTACACTCCCAGGCCCATCTGCTCCTTTTATTATAAAGACATGTCTAAGCTCTGTACCCAGAGGATGGACAAGGGCTGGTCTGATTGGGCAGAGAAGTTTGTATCAAAGTTGGCAAGTGTAACCTTAATTGGGAAGAACCCCAAATGGGTGAGGAATTGGCATTTAAGAACGAGACTCCAGAACAATCAGCACCAAGGTCAGATGGAGAGCTGCCACCCATTCAAGGCCAGAGGAGCCACCTGGGGACTCACTTAGTGGCTCGTTCGGAGATCCGCACTTCCAGTTTATGGCCGTCGATGACGTGACCCTAGAACACAAAATAACCGGGCCTGGTCACTAACCTATCCCTGCCCTTCTCCAGCACCTCGTCCCTGGTTTAAGGACACAAACGGCCTGTCCCAGGCAGAGGGGTTGGTGGGAGCCAAGGACAGAAATGGCTTTAACACAAAACAGTTCCCTGAGCCAAGCAGCAGGTGGCCAGAGAGAGCCAGTCTCCCATGTCCTCCTGACCTCCTGTCCACCCAGAGAGCCATTTCTACCATTAGCAGCATTCTCAGGGAAAGAAGCCTGCAGATCTAGCTTGCAGACAGCTCACTCTAGCTTGCAGGCCCTTTATGGACTGTTCTAGCTCACTGGAAACACGTGTGAGCTAGGCTCTAACTGCAGTCCCCAGTTGCAAAGCTGGTGCATTAGCAAAATGACCCCTGGAAATCCCTCAGATATCCCAGGAAATACAGCACATGGGGATTTGGATGCGCGATCCCTGGCAGTGATGTGTACACACGTTCGCGCATAAAACAGCACATGGCACGCATGCAAATGCTGGGCTAACAACTCTTGAGAAATATAGATCAGCGTTTGCAGACTTGAATTTGAGTCAAATGAAGGCACGGGGGTCCAGGAACGAAGCAGGATTTCTAGTAAACAAAGGACAAAAACCTTACAGGGCACATGCTGAGCTATGCCCTCTGCCCTGCCTGGCCTGAGATGATTGTTGATGTGCAGAGCTCTAGCTATCTTTATTGTTTTTGAGACAGGCTCTACTGTATAGCTCAGGCTAGCCTACAGCCTGCTAATGTAGACTGGTCTGGTCTGGAACTTAGAGGTCCTCCTGAGTGCTAGGATCAAAGGTGTGTACCACCACTCCTGGCCTTGTGGTTGTCTTCTTAAGCAAGATTCAGGTCCCTTGAGGGCTGCCACTGGCTCAGTCCCACTGTTGAGGAGCACAATCTGCCTCTTTGCCTAGACACTTCTCAGCTCCTCTCCCAACTTTCTTATTGGTCCAAGCTAAGGTGATGTCTTGTGAGGGGCACAGGGGTTCCCCATTTATCTCCAGACTATCCATGGTCCTCATAGCAGCTCTGGAAAGTGTCCTAAAGCTCAAGCCAGAGCCACAGTCTTTTACCGAGTTAAAGCCCAATGCTCATTCTCTAAAGGACCCATAAGAAGGTCTCTGCTTCTACACATCTCTCCTCACCTCCTTCCCAGAACCTTACCCCAATCATGCCCACCACACTGGTCTCTCTCTGCTTCCCAAATGTACAAAGTTCACTCCTGCCTCATCCCTGCCACTGGCCTCTGCATTTGCCATCCCACCTCCCAGAACTCTGAGAAGATTTCTCTGTCATGGCAGGTACTGGCTTACCTGCCACCTCCTGAAGAAGGCTTTTTGTGTTTTCTGAAGTATCCTCCCCACCCCTCCAGGGGAGGCATTATTGTCATGGAGCACCTGTGGCTGTGTGCCCTTGCACATCTGTGCAGGTCTGCAGCTGGTCTTTCCCAGCAGAGAGAGGAGTGAGTCTAGTTCACAGTCATGGTCCGATAGACTATCCGATAGACAGACGCATCTCCACGTGCTGTATTTCCTGGGATATCTGAGGATTTCCAGGGGTCATTTTGCTAATGCTCCAGCTTTGCGTCTAGAGCCTAGCTTACTCGTGGCTCGGGTGGTTAGAGTGGTTCATAAAGAGCCTGCGAGCTAGAGCAAACATGTTTGGAATCATGGTAAAAAAATGAATAAACAAAGTTACCACAGACGGGTGAGAAAGGCCCTTAATCTGTCTTGGGCCATGGCCTCACCATGATGGCCCAGAACCCCAGCTTACCTGGAGCTGCTTGAGGGCTTTCTGGGCCTGCTCCGGCTTCTTGTATTCCACAAACCCAAACCCCATTGAAAGTAGCACTCCTGAGAGAAAGAGGGAGGGGGGGTGGAGCTTAGACCAGTCCACGTGTGAAGACTCCATGGATGGATGCCCACTTAATTTCTCTTCCCTTCTCACACTGCTCTTCCTTCAAAACAAGACCCCAGCTCATGCTCAGAGACATAGGACCAGGCATTAAGGTAAATCACCAATGGGGCTACAGGGCTGCTACCTGGGGCCTCTAGGTTATTAACTAGCAGATAACTGACACTATGATCAACCTAATCAGATTCTGCTTTTCAAAGGGAGTGGGTAGTAACAGGGGTGACGACGGCTGCCACAAGTAGGATCTTGGGACCCGCCTGAGGAACAACAAGTAGAACATCATGGCTATCCATTACTACTCAGCAGCATGTTGGGCCAGGCCATGTAGTGTCCCCACCAATCCTGCCTAACCAGAGGAACTCCGAATGGGGATGGCCTGGCCCTGCCCACCCCTTGTGAAGCCAGGAGGAATAGCTAGGACTCTGGACAATCCCTGGGCCCAAAGAAAGACATGAGGCATATGTGCCCACTGGCCAGGGAGACGCAAGATTAATGAATCGGTAGAATGTTCTAGAACTTGTTCCTCTGGGTATTTCCCTTGGAAGACAGGAGGGAAAGCCTATTTCTTGGCATGCCTGGGAAAGTTCCAGAACATGGGGGTAATGGGAGAAAACAGGTTTCTGCTCCACACTGCTGCCCCTGTGGAACTGTTTCAAAGCTGCTCACTGTTAGGGAAAGTTCAAGAGAGAGAAGAGCCCAGTGTGTCAGCTGGGTAGGCCAAGGAGTAGGAGGCCTGAGGCAGGCCAGGTACCAGTTTAGGCAGGAGGTGGTGACACTTGACCTTGGTGAGGATCCTGTCTCCCTCCCTCACACCTTCAAGAAACGCTCCTGCTGAGCCACAGGAATAAATACCTGCTTTATTCTTCTTCTTGGAGATCATGCAGCTCTTTACAGCTCCCACTCTGGAAAACACCTGCAAAAGACAGGTGCCTGTCACTGGGCTGCTTTTTGAACAGAAGTCCGAAGCTACTCCCTTACCTGAGGACCCATCCCTAAGTGTATGAGGAGGCCCAAGAGTTACAGGTAGGGCAGATGCGATGCTATCATCAGGCCACAGCCTGAGGGGTCCCTTCCCTGTCTCCAGTCTCACTCACTTCCTTCAGTGTCTCCTCTGTGGTGCTGAAGTTGAGGTTCTTAATAAACAAAGTACATCCTGGGACACTTTCTTCTTCCTCCTCCTCCTCTTCCTCTTCCTCCTCTTCCATCTTGCCCGTGGAGGCTTCTGTTCCTTCCTCAGAAGCCTTTTCACCTTCTGGGTCAGGTGCTGGCCCTGTCAACAAACAAACCAGTGTGTTACATGAAGTCACTGCAAAGCCCAGTGCACAAAACCTACTAGATTAAAAGGCTCCTGCAGGCACTGGGGGTCTTTAGCAGAGAGAGGTGAGGAGAGGGGAAGGGAGAAAGGAAGGAAGAGACAGGGAAGAAGTAGAGAGAGAGGGAGGAAGAAAGGGAGAGAGTGGGAGAGAAGGAGACAGACAGAGAGGGAAAGAGAGGTGTAAGAAAGGCAGGCAGACACAGATGACCTGCTGTTGGTCCCATTTGAGAGAGGGTAGAATATTGAACACAGATCAAAACTATGAGTGTTAAACAGGCCCAGGCTGCACTAACTTAACTTTAAATTACTACATGAATTATTCTCTTTAATCATGAACCTAAGCAAAATGTTATTTTTCCTCAAAAACAAAACAACCAAACAAACAAATGCAGGGTATTTGACGAACTTCAACTAAAATCCAATTTGAAATTTCTCAAAATTGGTGGTGGTGAAACAGCTCATTCTCAATACCCTGGACCCAAGGGGTTGGGCTTGGTATGCACTGCTGTCAAGAGATTCCAGCAAGGGAAATGGTTGCCCTGGTGGACAGAAACCAGAAAGGTCCTCCGATAGGCCCAGATGACACCTGCTGTTTCTTGGGTCTGGCTTCTCTGTGTGAGTGGGAAGCCAGGTTCCATCTCCCCAACCTTCTGAAAGCCTCAAACTAGTTATAACTGAGTGCCAACCCCATAATTCCACCCCATTAGCTCAATGGAAATGCCGCAGTGACATCAGTGACTTGGTCACCTCTCTGACACAACAAGAAATATAGCTGTGCCCTCAGCTCTTTGGGGCCTAGCCCAGAATCCACACTCACCTGGGAGACAAACAAGTATGTCTCACAGCAATGCTACCCCAGCACAACTGTTGGTACTTAGGGATTAAAATGGAGGAAAATGTGACTCATGACAGGGAGCAGAAACGTCAGGTCCTGGGGAAGATTCAGAAGCAGCATGGCCTTCCACAGGATGATAGTCCCAGCCACTAGCTCACCTTGGCCTCAGACAAGGAGGCTGGTGACATCTTTGACACATGTGACCTTGATGAGGTGCCACACCACAAACCATGAGAGCCCACAGAACATTCTGGAGGCTTCTGCATCTGTTCTGAACTCTAAATCTCAGGCTGCCTGACGTTGGTGCAAGGGTTTGTCAGAGCCGGAAAAGACCTTTTCACAGAGAAGAGGGTGAGAGGGAAGATGGTGGCTCAGCGGGTGTGTGGTCTGCTAGCGAGGGTGTCCCTTCTCAAAATTGGCTGATCTCTGACACTTGGAGGGATCACTTCAGTGTGGTCAGAAAAGTGGAGTTTTCAAGAAGAGGAAAATGTAGCTGTTTTTAAAAGTTGGTTTATCAATTCTTACAACTTAAGTTAGTAGCACTTGGCTTTCATCCTCAGCTGGGGCCAGTGAAGAAACCATTTTGCTCGCCTCACACACTATGCCCTGGCCTATGCAACACTGCTGACCCTGCCCTCCTCCTGTCCCCAGTCTGGACTCTGACAGCCCCTGGCATGTGCATTTGGGACTCTGCCCTGCCCCGGGCCGCACAGAGCATGTTCAGATGGTAGCAGGGAGGTAGGTGCCTCTCAGCTTTAGCAAAGGACTGAGCTAAGAGAGGTTGTGGTCAGTGTCTAAGATGGGCAGGTTTCTCCCTAGCAGGCCAGCTGCTCCTAGTCCCAGCCTCAGGAGGTAGGGGACTTTTAAGAATGGCTGGCACCTATTCCTTGGTGTGAAGCTGGTCTGGCCAGAACAGTCCCAGTGGCCTCCCCAACTTCCAATGAGTTAACCTACACCATCCCTCAACATCAGGAAGAACACCACACCCACTAAAGGTGCAAGACAAGCTTTGGTGAGGCAAGCCTTCCTCCCACAGCCCGGCTACCAGCCTCCCTACACTCATCTTGGCACTGTGGATCCAAAGGAGGAGGGAAAACTGCAGGCACAGAGCTATGACACTCGTGCAGGCCACACTGGTTCTGCTGCAAACTGGCTGTGCCAGGGCCACTGGCTGACCCCTTCCTTCTGCAGTATGGGTATGGTGGTTTGAGAGAAAATGGATTCCATAGGCCCATAAGGAGGGGCACTATTAGGAGGTGCAGCCTTGTTGGGGTAGGTGTGGCCTTGCTGGAAGAAGTGTGTCCCTGTTGGGGCGGGCTTTGAGGTCTCCTATGCTCAGCAAGGCCGTGTGACACACGGTCTTCTGCTGCTGCCTGCAGATCAAGATGCAGAACTCTCAGCTCCTTCTCCAGCTGCCTGCACACCGCCATGTTTCCTGCCATGATGATAATGGACAAAACTCTGAAACTGTAAGCCAGCCGCAACGAAATGTTTTCCTTTTTAAGAGTCTTCACAGCAATAAAACCCCAATGAAGACAACGGCGTTTAATGAGACCAAGCGTGGTGTGCAGGCATGTTACACACACACATACATACACACCCACTCTGTTCATCTCAGAATCTCCACCAGGTCACAGCACTAGCATTTTCCCTGAGGGTTCTTCTTGCCTGCTGTGTTACAAAGGACTCAACTAGTCTCTATTACTTTCCTCTAATTTCCTCTTTTCAGATCCCTGGCCTCACTGTGAAATCACCTTCCCTCCTGGCTCTTGTCTGTGTGTCTCAAATAAGAGGGGAGCTTACCAGGCGTGAACTGCCCTGGGATAGTGACAATTTCCTCATCCATAGCCTCACCCCTCCTGTGCACACTGCCTGGTGGGCCCTTCTGGAGCTGCTGAAGGAAGACCTGTGAATCCCTAACCCTAGAGGTGAGACAGTACAAGGCAGGGAGTGCAGGCCCCAGCCCCTCTCCTTGGGGTTCTGGGAAGGCCTGCCTGCACCATATATCCGGGAGACCTCATCCCAGCCACCTTATATACCTAATCACTAGCTCTGCTGGGGCCTTCATCTGGGTCCAAGGGAGGGCTGGAGGTGGCTAAGTGCCACGGAGACAAAGACAAGGTCTTTTCTTACAAAGTGTTTCTGCTTTAGCCCCAACTGGGGAGACAAAAGAGAGACTAGAAACTGGGTACCATAAAGTCCAAATGGATGACAAGAAAAGCAAGAACCACCAGGGAGAAGGGAAGGAGTTAGAAAGGTGGAGGGCTGGGCAAGGGCCAGGGCTGAGGTGAGGAGCTGGATGCCAGGTGGGCCACAGGGACCGGGAGGAGCACGGAAAAACCACTTCTGCCCCAGTCAGTACAATGACAGCCAGTCACAGATGTCCACAGGGGGCGTCATTATAATCAGGCTGTAGGATTCCCCTGCCCCTCCCCACTCCAGGCTCCTGTGAGGCCTACAGCGACAGCCTGTTATCAGCAGCAGGCAGCTTTGTGGGACCTCCCCTGACTCACAGCCCTTTATCTGGAGGTGAGGGTCTTGGTTGTGGGGAGATAAAACACGCTGTTCCTGTCCCTGGGGACCCATGCAGGGAACAGAAGCTCACTGTAGAAAAGCCTGCCCATCCCCCTCCTTGCCTGTGAAATCCTAGTCTGCGTCCCCAGCGCTCTAGGTCCTCATCCTACAGGAAGGGGAGAGCTGTTGGTACCTCAGGAATAATATGCAGTGGGCAGGAGATGAGGCGGCACAGGATGAAACTCAGAGGAGTGGGAACTATGTAGTCAAAGAGGGACGAAAGAGCCATAGGAGGCCAAGATAGCTCTGGAAAATGGCAGTTAAGGATGATGCCACTTGGCTACCAGCCTGTGGGTGACAACAGTAGCCTTGGGCACCCTGGTGGCTATCACCCATGTTAAAGACAGAAAAACAAAGCTTAGAGAAGAGAGGTGCTCCCCCAAGTCATGACAAGGAGCAGAAGGCTGCTGTGTGCTGGAGAGTGTAAATTTCCCCCCACCCTGGCACAGCACCACTGCTGTAAGTGTAAGTCAAGTTTCCACTGACCACAACACAGGCTCGTGCCATGACCACCTAAAGTCACCATCACACTTCACAGCGTCACCGACCACTCATTGGCTGGGGCCACCAAACCCTGAAGCCACTCTCAAACCTCATGTGTACCAGAGCCTTGGGACACAAGCACCACCAGCCCTCTCTGGAGAGGGATGGTGTCACATCCTCCCCCATGGTCTTTCACGGCCTCGGCATCTGTCTATGCAGCTGTCCTGCCCTGTGCTTAGGGCTGCGTGGGGTGCTGGGCACCTGGGCTGCAGTGACAGCCTGGTCAAGGCAGAAATGAAAAGGAAGAAACAGAGAGTATAAACCTCAGTGTCTACCAGGATCAGAAGGACAGGTGGACAGAGCCACACAAGGTCTTTGTGGATGGCCCAGTGCCTCACAGACACCGATACTGCTGCCCAGCCAGGAGATGGGCCTCCCAGAGTGTGTCTTCAGGAACCCTGGCCCTGGCTAATTTTCATGCCTGACAATGAGTACTTGCTTTTATGCCAAAACATACCTCCCAGGTTCAAGTGTGGTCAACAGCCAAGAAGCAAGGCAGCTGGAGGCCTGGGGTGACATGGGGTAAGAGAAAGGCCCAGTAGAGGTGGGCAGCTCAATGGACAGGTATTGGCAGGACATCTACAGCCTAAGGTACCAACTCCCAATGGTAATGAAAAAACAAATGTGGTACCACAAGAAGAAATGTCTCCTGAGAAGATCATGAGGGGTTGAGGGGTCCTCTGGTCTGACAGACAACCATGTCGCCTCCTAACAGAAGGTAGCGGGGTACCTAGAAAGTCTCATCAGCTACATGAACCTGACGAGCAGAATGTGTGTCAGGGTCACACGCTTGAGACTACCCTGGGCTACGTGACAAAGTCAAAACAAAACAAAGACCAATAAATTCCACACAACACCTTGACCTCCACAATCCTCACACTTGCTGTCTCCACTGCCCAGAGTACACCTGGGATGTTACCCAGATGTTTCAGGTTCTCAAAGTGACAGGTACTCCTGAGTATCAGGAATGGATGATGGAGAGCTGTCCTGCTCTAACATCAGTGATGCATCTGTCCCCTCCCCACAGTGAGGCACCAGCAAAGAGGACCAATGCCTTTTGCTTTCCTGACCACCAGGGGGCACTGTGACACTCAAGCTGCTACAGAGGGTCCATCTCTTCCAGCAGCAACCACCTTGATGCTGGAGACAGGTTCCCACAGCCTCTTTCAAATCCTTGTCAATAGACTAAAGTCCCAGACAATATACTCAGTGAATCCATTCTTGTAACCTTTGGCCAAGAAACTAAAAATTGACCATCTCATGTGACAAGATCCATTGGTCCACTTTTTAAAGGGTGCCTGACACTCCTACACAAATCTATTTGCAGGAAGACCCAAGGGCATCTGCCCAGTGGTCTAATGACAGGCTTGGCTGTCCCCCATCCCGCCCTCCTCCCAACCCTGCCCCCAGCACGGTGACTCCAGATTCTGCACTCACCAGTGTCTTGCTCCTCTTCGGCTTTCTTTGCAGATTGCTCAGGTTGGGAATCTTTCTTCTGGGGAGCTGCGCTGAAGACATCAATTGGAGCCCACTCTAGGTACAGCGGGACATGGTGGAACTGCAGAGACAGGGGTGCCAAGGCTAGGTATGGGTCCCCCCATCAAAGACCTGGCTCCCTCAGTGCCACCTGACTGAAGAGCCAGAAATGACAGAGGCAGGAGAAGCTGGACACAGAGCCCTTCCTGGGTCAGCCGGGCCCAGGGCCTCTCATACAGCCAGGTACCCCGGTACAGGCAGATGTGGTACTGAGGCCATGAAGCATAAAACTCCCAGGACAGACAGACAGACAGACAGACAGACAGACAGACAGACAGAAATTCCTTGTACTGGGCTGAATGGTGGCTCCCCAAGACACGGTCAAGGTCAAGTCTTGACCTTGAGCCCCAGCCTGTAACTGTGACCTTGGCAATAGGAGGCAGATCCTGGGGTGAGACTGTCCTGTGCTATCTGGATGGGTGCTAAGTTGAACAAAGTCCAGGGGGAGGAACAGGACGAGCACAGGTGAAGGTGAGCCTAGGGCCACTGGGACTATCAGAAGCAAGAACGTCAGAAACAGACTCTGCCTTCCGCTGGCAGAGGGAAAGAACCCATTGCTAGGTGGTTTGGGCGTCTAGCTGGCAGCTTTAGAGAAACCAGATGCCACTGTCTTATGCCACCATGCTGGTGGCCACTTGGTATAGCAGACCAGGAAGCTCATGCCTGCTATTTTCTTTTCTTTAGTCAAAAAGTCAGAAGTCAGCCCTGGGGACAGCAGTAATGTCTACCACAGGGCAGCAAGCTCCAAGAGAGAAGGCAGATTTGAAGGGAGTTTCTCTGGGCACTCACCAAGATCGGCGGTCATACCTTAGAATAGGCCAGGTGCCTGAAGGCCTTTCGGGCCTCCAGCGGCTCCAGGAACTCTACGATGGCAGTGATGCCGCCTTCAGGCAGCAGTACGCGACCCAAGCTGCCAAAGCGGCCGAAGATCTCCTGTAGCTCCGCTGCTAGCGTACCGGCGGGGAGGTTCTTAGCCAAGATCACAGTCTTACTTCTCTCTGCTGCGGCCTGAGGATAAGATGAACGTGTGTGGGACAATAGCAGGGTAACCTCAGCATGGCTTCAGCACTGACCATTGCTGGTAGCTCCAGGAGAGAGGTCCCATGAGGGCCCTTGGTGGTCAGGCATGGAAAGCAGAGCTTGGGGGGAAGGGGTAGGCATTCGCTGGCAGTTTCTTGCTTAGTCCTTGTCCCACAGACAGCTCTGCAGAAGGACTGGGGCTCAGAGCTCCAGACCATACTTTCCTCAAATCACCACAAGCCACAGGGCCCAACAGCCCCCAAACACAACCCAGATTGGAGCACCCAGGGTGGCCCCATGGGCTTCCAAAGAACAAGAACCACATCTCAGCGCCCAGGCTCCTTCCTGGCAGTGCAGACCTGCTGACTAGATGCGGAAGGCAGGAAGACGTGGGGACTTTTGTCCCTGGATGCACCCTTCTCCTCTGCAGGAGATGTTCTGAGGAGGCCAGTCCTGCATGATTCCTCTTGCCTCAGGCTCCCATCACCCATAGGATCTATCTTTCCAGCCTTCCTTCCAGGAAACTCTGTCCTGGCTCTGCCCGACCACAGACTTACTGTGTGCAGTAAGGACTCACCTGGCTGAAAGAGTCCAGGCTGACGCCATTGTTGATAAGGAAGCTTCGGACCTCCTGGACCAGCTGGGTCTCCCCGAGAGCCACACGCACAGCCACACTGCCCTTGGTCTCCTGTAGGAGGAAGGGAAGAGGCCCAAGTGCTATCAGGGGGTTCAGCGGGAAATGCGTGTGGCCACACCAGTCATTCTCCAGTCTGGAGGCTCCTGGGACTCAGACTCCTCTGGACTTGCACAGTAAACCTGGGATCCCTTGGTCCCTTTCCAGCTTTGCCTTGATCCATGGCTCAGGATGCCCTTCCCTGTCTTTCCTCAGGTAGATGGCCCTGATGTTCTTCCTTCAGGTCACTGCCTGTAGGGCCTTTGGACTCACACACCTCAGCCTCCAGTGTCACACCTGTCACCCTGCTGAGCAGCCCAGTGTAGCTATGACCTTTCATTTGTGTGTCCCTCCAATACAGGGCACCAGAAAAGCAGGTTCCCTTCTGTCCTGGGCATGGCTAACATCCTAGCCACAGCAACTGTCCCCTTAACTTAGGTCAGGTTGTGGCCTTTGCTTCTCTGAAATAATTATCTCATATGAGGTGTGCTCAGTGTCCAGGGACAGTGCTGACCCTGTGTCTGGGGAAAAAGGTAAATGACAAGGGAGGGTGGAGCTGTGAACAAAAGTCAACAGGTGCCCTCTGCCAACCAGGTGACAAGCATGCTTCCACCCAGGTTTGGCCTAAGATAACTCAGCAGTTGACCAGTGAAAGAGCGGACATGAAGTAAACCACACAGAGGCCCTTCACTCACATGGTCAAACACTTGGCTCTTGGTGGCATTGTACTTCTGGGCGATGGCATCAGCCACAGCATTCGGTCCCATAAACAGCGTGTTCCAGTTGTGAGAGCTGAGGAGGGCAGAACAGAGGTCACACGGTGGCCAAGCAGGTCGATTTCTTTTCAAAAGCCAGCCTGGGCTCCTCCCTCCACGCCCCTGTCATGAGCCAAGTGCACGAGGCCCATGACTCTAGAGACCAGCAAACTGAAGAACCCATGTCATAGCCCCTAGCTCTGGGCTGGGACTCAGTGCTCCACACACACTCTCTCCTGAGATCTACGCTGTGATGTTTTTGCTCTCCACGCAATGTTATTGCTCTCCCCATCCTGCAAGTGGGAAAACTGAGGCCCTTGAAAAGTCATGGACGAGGAGCACCAGGAAGAGTGAAAGATGGGTTCAAGGGCAGCAGACCCTGGGACAGGGATTCAGTGGCCACGGTGGGTGGACAAGAACCTGGAGCTGTTGGCTTTGTCCATGGCTTCCTTCTTCTTCTTGTAAGAGGATCCTGGGGCGTCAGCCTCCTGGGTGGCTTCTTTCTTGATGGTGGAAGGTAGGACGTGGAGCATCCTGCCCTGGAGGGGATGGAAGGATATAACACAGGCTCTACCCTCAAGGATGCCACCTCAGGTCATAAGTGCTCAAGTTCTGTTATCTGACTGGAGGGCGCGGCAGAGGGACCACGTGATTTGTGGTAGAGTGAGTGAGAATGGACCCTCATAGGTTCATGTATTTGAATGTCTAGTCCCCAGTTTGAGGAACTATTTTGGTCTTGGAGGAGTTGCGTCACTGGAGCTGGTTTCAAAAGCCTATTCATTTCCAGTTAGTTCTCTCTGCCTTATGCTTATCAATGGAGATGTAAGCTCTCACCAGGTCTAATGCCATCCCTGTCTGCCTGTTACCATGTTCTCTATCCTCATGGTCATGGCCTCACCCTATGAAACTCTTAAGCTCCCATAAACTACAAATTTAAAACATAGTGTCCATCCATGTGACACAGGGACCTGTCATTGTGGTGAGGCCAGCTGACACAACTGCATGTTGAAAATTTTATTCACATTTTTAAGAAGACTGAATTTTATATATGTGCATGTGTGTATGCCTGAGCCTGAGAATGTGTGTGTATCGTGTGTGTGGTGACTTTGGAGGCCAGAAGAGGGTGCTAGAGTCCCTGGAACTGGAGTGTGTAGAGTTACACATGCTCATATCAGGTCCAACATGGCTTCTGAGAATTGAACTTTGGTCCTCTGGAAGAGCAGTAAATGTTGATTTTTCTTTTCTCTTTTTGTCTTTTGAGACAAGGTCTCACTTCTCCCTATATAACTCTGACTGGCCTGGAATTCCATATGTAGACCAAGCTGGCCTTGAACTCAGAGATCCAGCTGCTTCTGCCTCTTGAGTGCTGTGGGCCCAGGAAGTGCTCCTAAACGCTGAGCCATCTCTCCAGCTCTGGAAACTTCACTCTACAAAGCACAGTTGTAGCTCCCACAGCCCCACAAACCTGCATCCTGTCCTTTTCTGTCCCTATGGTGAGAACATGAGGTCTACAGAAGAGAAGTGCAGGCTGACCTGATAACAGTGACATCCATAAACCACAAACAAATAAATAAGCCAAACTGGCAGTTGTGCTGTACACACTGACGCATAAGCAAGCAACCTGAGGTGCTCGGGCACACCATGGCCACCACACCTCCTGTGTCATCCTCTGCCAAGGAACGGTTTCAGAAGGCAAAGAGCGGCCTTTAGAGATGACACCCTCTAAAAGCTCACAGCAGGCCACCGTGGGATCGAAGGCCTGAAATGCACATGCTCATGCAGACACACACACACACGCACGCACTCCTGCTTCCTCGAGCCCAGCAGCCAGCAGAACTAGCACTGAGCTAACTCACCTGGAATACCTGCCCATCTACCTCCGCATAGGCCTTCACTGCGTGCTCAGGGAACATGAAGGTGACGAAGGCAAAGCCCTTGGGCTTCTTGGTCAGGCTGTCGATGGGGTAGTGGAGTTCTGACAAGGGACCTGGAGATGGGATGAGAAGGTCAGTCTGCTGTGGGCCAGCGCACTGGCTAACAGGAGTCCTGGGACCTCGCCAGGCAATGGGCTGGATTAGTAAAACCAACAAATGGCTGTTCTCGACCAGCCCAGGCTGCTGAGTCCCACAGGAAAGCATAGCAAGTACCAGCAAGCTTACCAGCCCAGGGTTAAAGGCATTCTGTGTGTCCATCCTCAGGAGAGGTGTGGACTTTATATGTGGCTTCATCACTTAACATGCATAAGCTTGTTTCCTCACCTATAAAAAAAACACAAGACCCTTCCTTGGGTCATAGGACAGGTATGGGGTAAGCTGTGCTAACACATGAGGAGTGCAGCCAACAGTGTCCCCTACAGGTGGTGTCATGTAAATGTCATGACAAACTAGGCAATGCTTCCTACTCTGAACAGGGAGCATCATCATGTCCCTACCATGAGCCCCTGTCTTTCTAAATGGACACCCACAGTCTAGACAAACCCTCTCCTTCAAGCCTGGCCACATCAGGCAGCAGGCAGGAAGGTCTCGCTGGCAGGACGCTATGGGCATCCTGGGAGATTTCATCATCTTGCCTTCTCTCAGGTCTCCCTGGAGCCTCCTTCCCCCTCCCAACTCTGAGCCTCCACTCCCACGCTGTCCTTGGAAGAGACACAGAAGTTATTGTAGGCTTCTTGCAAGTGTCAGGACCTCAGCCCCATTATTACGAAGCTTCCCTTTGTGTAAAAATCCCGACCCCATTGACAAACACAGCCCCAAGACCAGGAAACTACAGGCTGGTGAGTTTTCAGTCTAAGAAACTACAACAGCAGCAACACTAAGAATAGTTTCTCTGGGCTGGGGTGTGGCTTGGTGGGTGACCCCGTGCTTGCCTGGCTCATGCGAGGCCCTGGGTCCATCCCCAACACTGCTAGGAGGAAAGTTAGCTCATCAAAAGACCAGCCTTAGGCTGGGCATGGTAGTTCAATGCCTTTAATCCCATCACCTGGAGGCAGGTGGATCTGAGTTCAAAGGTAACCTGGTCTAAAGGGCTAGTTTCAGGACTGCCAGCGCTACACAGAGAAACTGTGTCTGGACTGGGAGGGGGCCAGAGGGCAACAAGACCAGGCTCGTGGTCAGCTGATTGGTTGTCTAGCCTGGACAGAGGACTTTGGATGGTTGGCTGGGCATGGTAGTACATGCATGCAGGAGGCTGAGTTAGGAAATTTTCTGTAAGTTCAAGGCCAGCCAGGGCTATCAAGCAAGATCTTGTTCCTTAAACACAAATAAGAGACTTTTGACAGCCAAGTGCCTCAGTGTCTACTACGGACAGGACAGGCTGAGGCAGATGCTACACTCTCTCCACATTATGAGAGTGAAGAGAGGCCCATGCACAGCGCAGAGGTGCAAAGGACTGTCAGTAGTCAGGGTACGCAGAGTGGCCTCTAGCTGATGGACACAGATGGCACCCAGGACCAAGTGGAGGCAGCACCCACCATAGGCAGAGAAAAGCTTCTCCAGGTCCTCCTCAGAGCTGGTGTAGGACAGGTTCCGCACAAAGAGCCTCCCTGAGTCGGCCAGGTCCTCCTCCTCCTCATGTTCCCCAAGCGTGCGGCCCTGCCAGGGTGCGCTGCTGCTCTTTGGGGGACCGTGCGCTGTAGGTGCCTGCTTCTCCCTGAACACCTCGATATAGCGTCCACCTGCATGAAGACAGGGGTCAGGGCTGTGGGGTGCCTGAGGTTGCCAGAGCCGCCTGAGGTCCCCACAGCCTCCGCTCTGCTGCCATCTAGAGCCTGCCGTCTCTACCTATGACCGTGTCTGCAGCAGACTGTTCCTCAGGCTGGAGCTGGACTTCTGGGACCTCACCCACCTTGGAAGTACAGTCAAAGCCCTGAGGAGCTTTCAGGGCCATCCCAGACAGGGTTCTGGGGCCTCCCTCCTTCCCACTATAGCTGGTCTTTGCTACTTTGTGGGTTCTTTTTTTTTTTTTTTCATTATTTATTTACTTAATGTGAGTTCTTTTTCCCACCCTTTCACCCCCCCACCCCAGTTTCACCCTCTATCACTAGATAGGAAAGGATAAAGCAGAGAAAGAGAGAGAGAGTGGGGGGAGGCTTGAGTCTAATTTCTTCCTTGTTTCTTATTTGAGCACAACTACCAACAAACCACAACCAATCCCTGTGAACAACCAACAACCACTAACCCCACCTATGGGGCTCTAGCATTTATACACCCTCTGAAATAGTCCCAGAATTCCCAATGTCACAATCACAGAAACTATCTGCAGCTGGCAAAACCACACCTCTGCTAGAGCAGGGGGCAAATCACAGCCAACTGCTGCATAGCAGCCCCATGTCCCACCCATGGGATTAAAATGAAAATGTATAATCTTATAATATTTCTGTGTCTTTTAAACACAGAAATTCTGGACACCAAAATTTCAGAATTCTCACTATAACCATGACTGGCTGATCTGCCTTGAGGAGCCTGCACATGACAACTGGACCTGGGACATTGAGCAAGTGAATCACTGAACCACCTCTCACCCCAGTTACCTGTCCCACTGCAGCCAGCACCCATCCTCCCCATCCACTCTGCACTCAGTCAGAGCCCACCAACTGTCCTGCTCACAGGGTTCCCATGCTCACTCAGGGAGATGCCTCACACTTGCATCTGAGCCACTTGTCCATGCCAGGGATAAGTGAGGATGCATCTTCCCCGGGCAGCCAGTGTCATAGGCTGTTCTCCAGACCCAACAAGCGGCTCCAGGGAGCCAGAGCCCAGGTCAACACAGCCTGCCCCACTCCACACACTGCTCAGATGAATGGCATCACCTGCCCACTTTCCCCATGACTTTCCTGTGTTCACTCTGTGGGTGTTCCAGGGGGAGGGACTGTGGACTCCCTGCTGGATCCCCAGGCCTAAGGTATGACGTCAACACAGGGACAACCCTCCCTGATGTCCGACATGCCCTTACCCATGTATTCTCGGTTGCACTTCAGAGCTTTCTTCACTTCTTCTTCACTACTGAGATCCACGAAGACATATCCTGAGAGGACAGTGACAAGGAGTCACAGGCAGAGTTGGGGAAACCTGTCTGTCAATCTCTAGCGCGAGCACGCACACACGCGCGCGCGCGCGCGCACACACACACACACACACCACCCCAATAGCTTCAGATCAGGGGGCCAGCTGTGTGAATGGAGATGTGAGTGAGCAACAGGGCTTTCCTGCCCATGCTAGCCTCACCCTGTTCCTGAACACTGTCTAGAGAACTGTGTTGGTGGAGGCCACGCTGTGACCCAGTTCAGGATGGTCTGGGCCATTGCCATGACCACTGTCCCTGGAGCTCAGATCCAGGTCAGGAATCCTTCCTGAGGGGAGCCTAACCCTATGAGGCAGCACAGCAGGGCCACCCCTTTTTAAGAATAGTTAAGTCACATGTTCCTGGTCACATGGCTATCTGATGGCAACGCTATAACTTGACCCCATGTCCACAGGTTTCCACAAGCAACAGGAAGCTATTCTTTCTGCCTAGCACTCTCTTCTGTCTTCTGTAGGGACATTACCTCCTCACAAATGTACTTCAGCCCCTTCCTCCTCCATGAGTCTCCCAGGGGCACAGCTCTAGGCCTCGCCATTCTCAATTTGTTATATCCTCCCAGGCCCAATCCCCACAAACCTGCACTGAGGCTGGAAAGTGCGCTGACTGACGTGTGGCTGAGTCCCCCTGTTCCAGCCCTTTCACAGCCCTGCTTGCTGCCACAGCTGGCTCTCTTGGCTTTGAGAACTCAGACACACTCTCTCCTGCTCCCTGCCCAGTCTCTAAAGTGTTGTAAATCAGAAGCACCATCCTTAGTCGCAGACTGACACCACCACAGTTCTCACAGAGCAGGCAGCCCTTAGTGTGAGCTCCTTACTCCTGGGTGACAGGCCCACCCCACTGTGTAGTTACTAAGGCTGACCCTGTCTGTGTGTGAGGTCACAGGGCTCCTAAAAGCAGCTAAGCTGGGATGGAGACCCTCTACTCTACACTGCCCTCTTCAGGATTAAAGGTGAAGAGAACTTGGTACAAGATGTGGTAGAGTCAAGATGGGGCGCTGGGAAAGAGACACAGGTGCTTTCTTCCCCAGGTGCTCTACCCCAGCAGCCTCTTCCTGACAAGGACCCTCACAGCCTGCAGGCTGGGATTCCCTGAGCGATGGTGTCTTAGGGTGGCTCTGTGAGATGCAGCTACGCTCTGGCCGCATCTCCCACAGACTCCTGGCCTGGTCAGCAGGTAGGAGGCCCGCAGTCCTCCGCCTCTCCCAGCCCCAACTCATCACCAGACTCTGCCTTTTGACAGCCAAAGCCAGTGCTCTGAGTCCAGGGGACCCTGGCTGACCAGAGTTGAATCCTGCAGAGGCATGGCCCGAGGCTATGCCACACACACATTCAACAAGCTAGAGCTGTCCTTCGTCAGTAGACATGCCCAAGGACAGTGCAGCAAGCTCAGGACCCACTGGCATCTACCAACAGAGGGTGTGAGCCTGTCTGTGCAGAGAAGGTGGGGAGGGAGGGGAGACCTTTGCAGATGAACTATGCTGAACTGAGGGCAACAGATGGCAAGAAAGAAATCAGTGTCAAGGAGGCCCGTGGTTCCTCCTCAGTGCTGCGGTGCAGGGTGTTCTCTCTGCCTCACCTGTTTTGTTCCCGTGAGCATTTCTCACTATTCGAATCGCCACTGGCTTCAGGGGTGCCAGGAATTCCATGACGTTTTTCTGAGAGGAGAAGAAAGGTGTTTTCCCTTCTATCTTTTTTTTTTTTTTTAAAGCTTAATATTTATTGGACCTGTTAACAATTTTCTAGCATTTTCCCTTAGACTTTAAAGCATCTGACAACTGAGCCAGGGATATGGTTCAGTGGTTGAGTTCTTGCCCCCAGTTCCTCAAAAAAGAGAAAGATGTGCCTGCCAACTGGTCTCATGATGTCTGTTAGGTTAGCATTAACAGCATGCATATAGCTCTGTTTTCCTTTCCCTGGGGATTGAACTCAGGCCCTTGGGCTTGCACAGCAAGGGTTCTAGCCACCAAGCTTCCTCTCCAGCCCCATGTCCCCTCCTCTTCTAACAGAGAACCCGCCCATCCTGGCACCATAACCAGTCTTCACACTGCCACCCCTCTGCTTCCCATGGCAGCAGCCACCATGTCCCGCTCCTTCTAGCTCATGAGCTCTTCTGACCCTGGCATCCCCACCCTCTCTGCATCCTGTATTTTCTGAACGCATTACCTCAGTGACATTGAATGGGGCTCCCCGGAGCTTCACGGTGTAAGGGGTGGTGGGTTCCTTCTGGCTGGCTGGCTTCTCTACCTGAGTGATCACGGAGAAAAAACGATTGTGGTGAGTAGCTGACAGCCACGTGGCAGGTGGTAGCTGGCACACCCTGTAGCTGGAAGGGGCACCAACTGCTGGGGAAGATGGTGAACTGCATGAGAATCCTGCTTGCTGTGAGCCGAGCCTGGATGGAAGTGGAGCTGGCAGCTGGAGCATCGTTACTACACCTGAGATGAGGGCTGCCCGCAGAGCCTGGCAAGCCACCAGTACACCAAGAGACCCTGGCCCCAGGAAGGAAGTAGAGGTACCACCGAGCCAGGGCTTGCCTGGTGTCCAGCGTACAATGCCACAGGGATGCTGAGGTCAGGTTCCACAGTTCCGGGGTGCCAATAATTCCTAAGAGCCTCTGCTCTAGGTTTCTCCTTTGAAGCCCAAACCTGCCCTGACTGGAACTCTTTCCCTGTCAAAGTCTGTCTTGGGCTGCTGTGTACCCCCCGACTTCTTTCATCACACGAACCCCAAGGGCTGCCCTGGCTTCGGCTGCAGGATGCATGCTCAATGACTATCATGGTCGCCCTCATGAATCTGAATGACCAAATCCTGCACTGCAGGGACACGTGTCGTGACTAGAGGCCTGTGGGGTGGATGCTTCTCACCCAGGGGTGACAGGTACTGAGGGTCAGTACTGGCATGTGACTTCCATGCTGCCACACATCTTGGACAGGGCATGTTGGTTTGCGGTGGCAGCAAACGAGGAACGGAGGCCTCTCGGCCTCTCACTGTGAAGCAAAGAGCAGGGCAGGAGATGGGATGCTCCCAGGGAGAGGATGCGGTCCCACCAGAGTGTCTAAGTGCCCTGTCTCTGCAGCAGAGAGGATCTACTGCTGAGAGGCTAGGAGCCATCCTCAAGGTCTCAGCTTCAAGTCCTGGCCCCACCATCTCCTAGCCATCACCATGGGTGAGCCACTGTCCCATCCAAGACCTGCTTCTTCACCTGTGCAGAGGACTGTAATGAGAATCACTGATTTGCCAGGGATGTTACCCAGCATGCAGTGAGCCCTCAGTGACCTCATCTATCTGTACCTAGTTTCCTCACATCTGTCCATCTTGCTGCAGGAGCCACCCACTGATATGCCACAACTCTAGCTTCCCGAGGCTCATACAGGGTCCTAAGCTGTGAGGACACCCTGTGAACAGCTGGCCTTCCCTCCTAGTCAGTCCCCTAGGGAAAAGGCTGCAGGCACCCTGGGTGACCCATGCTCATCCTCATCCTCAAAGACACAGACAGATAGACAGACTGACCACACATACCTTGCCAGCAGCTTCCTGAGGCCTCTGGCTTGAAGACAGAGTTCCCCGGCTCACACTTTCCTGCTGGGCTGGGGAGGCAGGCAGGCCCTCCTCTTCCTCAGCCTCGCTGCCTTCCTCACAGTTCACCGCCTCGTCTTCACTGTCCTCTTCGTCCTCGTCCTCAGAGGACACCTCTGCCCGCACCATCTTGGATTTCAGGTACTCCATGTCGGACAGCTCCTTCTGCACGGCTGTCTTTGGCTGCAGGCCTTGTTCCTCTGGGGACACAGAGGTTGGCGGCCTTTGTGAGCAGAGACAATGGGCCCACCAGGGCCAAGGCCCTCACACACATGCAACTCCAGCCAGTTCTCTGATGAGCAACACTTGGTGGTGAACCGGGCCACACTTTGCTTGTCTCTCCACCCAGCCCATGGCACATGGAGATCTGTCACTCCCTTTCACCATCCTGGCCCCTTCCAGCCCTCCCTTCCCTATGAGATTTGATTATGTGTATGTGTCTCTGTGTGTATGTGTGAACATGAGTGCAGTGCCTAAGGCCAGATGAGGGCCCTGGATCCCCTAGGGCTGGAATTATAAGCAACTGTGAGCCACCATGTGGGTGCTAGGCACTGAACTCAGATCACTTGGCAGAGGGGGAAGTGCATTTAATGGCTGAGTCAACCTCCCCAGCACCTCAAGATCCCCTTTTAGGCTCAACTTTATTGAATCTTTAAAGCGTACACACAGCTAGGTGCAGTAGCGAACGCTTGTAATCCCAGCACTCGGGCAGGTAGAGGCAGAAGCAAAGGCAGGTGGATTGCTAGGAGTTTGAGGCCAACCTGGTCTACAAAGTGAGTGTAGGATAGCCAGTGATACACAGAGAAACCCTGTCTCAAAAACAAAACAAAAACAAACAAGAAAGAAAACAAAGAAAAAAGTACACATAACACACTACTCCTTTTGCTTACGGCAGAGGTGCTGTGCTTTACCCATTCAGCAAAAATCCACATGCATGCCGACTACAGTCCTGGCAGGATACTAGGCTTCTAGAGGCGACTGTGCTGAACACCTGCCACCCTATGTCCTTTATTCTTGGTGTCCCTGATGAATTGTATAGTTTGTGCCAAAGTACAAAGGACACGTGGTGTGACAATGACAAGGGTTGGGGGAGAGGAAGCTGGCAAGGGGAGGGGTGTGAGTTTCCAGGGAGGCCTGGCTGGGCAGAAGAGGCATGGCCATTCCTTACACTGCAGCCTGAGTGACCCTCGGAGCACACGGTGGGGCTGTGGCTCTATTCAGCACCCTCCAGGGGTTTCCAGTGCTCAGAGGAAGGGAGGCTGAACTCTCCTCACCCAGCTCCATTTGCTGTGAGTCCTGAGACTAGGCCACGCTTCTTCAGCTACTGTGCTGTCCTTTCTTTGGGCCTCTCCAGTGCTGTTCCCCACTTCTTTGGCCTCTCCACCCTTAGTCCCACAGTCCTCGGCTCGGCAGACTTTACCAGGCTAAGCTGAACTAGTCCCACACCTCACTGTAAACCAGAACACCCGTCACTGTGGACCCCACACAGTCAACGTTCTGCGCTTGGATTGGCCACTTACCAGCACAGGCCCATGAGGGCACGGCCCCACCAGGAAGCTTCAGCCCTTCCAGGAAGCTTTGCCATGCCCCGTCCTGCCTCCTTGGTATACCTGTCAATAAACATGCTCCACCGGGGAACATGGGAACCTGCCTCTGTCCTCTGCTCTCACCAGGATGCCCATTTATAGGTACAGGGATTTTGGGGGTCTTTTCTCACTACTGTGTCTTCAGTCCCCAAAGCTGTGCCTGGCATACTGCCCATACTCAGTGAATACTGGCTGAGTCAGGTGACCAGCTCTGCCTGGGGGAGACATACCAGTGAGTGGGCTGCTCATCTGCCTTGTAGCTGTAGGGCAGCACCTGGCTGGCTCTTTCCTACAGCCCTTGTCACCAGAGAGTGTCACACAAGGTGTCCTTTGTAGGTCTGTGCCAAGTATATTGTACTTGTGCCCATGTACTTGTGCCCATCAGGCCAAGGCCAGGCAAAGGTTCACACAGTCCTAGGAGTGCAAGCTCACCTTCAGGTTCCTCTTGGGCCATCTCCTCCTCACTCTCCTGCCCTGAGTCGGAGTCAGAGTCGAAGTTCAGATAGTCACTTGCCGGCTTGGTCTTCGCTTTCGGGAGCTGGGAGTCCAAAGCATCATTTGCCCACGTGGCCACTTGGGTCCTCTTCTGATGAATCGACAGGAACTCCTGGAACTCGGCATCTTGCTTCAACTGCAGCAGTGCAGCCAGGCAGGAGGTTAGGGGAGGAGGGAGAGGAGGCAGCAGAGGTTTAGGAGGCTCAGTTCTCCAGTCCTCCACCCTCTCAAAGCTCGCAGCCCTCCCCCTTTACCCACAGAACATTCACCTTCTCCAGGTCACTGGGCACCTTTTTCTTCTTCTTGTCCTGAAAGTACAAGGCAGACACGGTCACACTGATGTTGTGGAAGGGAAGACGGAAGTGCACTGCCCCGGGCACACCCACCTTCCAAAACCATCCAATAGATACTCTCAACTCCTCCCCAGCCAGAGCCCACCCTGGCACTGGGCACAGGGCTGGTGATACCACCTACATACTTTTTTAGTGTCTGATGGAACGGAGTCTTGCAATGGCTGCTTGGGCTGGTTTGGCTTCTGAGCATGCTTGCTCCAAGCTCGGGGCTTCGTTGGGTCTCCAAAGGACTTGCAGAATTCTACCTGCATGGGAAGGAGAGCTGGTTTTCACAGCTGCTGAGGCACCCAGGCACGTGTATGTCCCTTCAGCACCGGGAGCATAGGTTTCCCAGAGTGCAGTAGCCACTGACTTGCTAAGTGCTTTAAAGTGAATCACTTTCATCCCCAAATGAAACATTATCCTCCAAAAAGCCATTCTGCTCACTGCCATTTACAGGGGACTAGTTCTGCCTCCTATGCTCACCAGTAGAATGTGACAGGAAATGCTACTGTCCCCTGTGCTCTGACCAAAAAGTTCAAGTGAGATTGGGTGGCCCTGGAAGCAGGTGATGGGGCAGAGACAAGACTCGGGCACATGAGGACTGGGAGCTCACATTCACCTCATAGGCCAACTAAGGATGCCTGGGAAGCAGCACCTGCCAGGGGCAGAGCAACAGGGAGTGATGGCTATCAGTCACATGACTGTTTACCATGAGGCAAGCTCAGTCACAGCAAAAAACAAGCCCAGGGTAACAGGAACAGCAGGGAGACCACAGGAGTGTAGAAGAGCGCCAGGGACCGTGCTTGAACTGATGTATCCCTCAGCCCTGGCACCTCCAACACACTCTGAGAGGCGGCCTCTGGGAAGACACTCCCACAAGCCACATCCAGACATTCCATGATATTATTGGTCAGCAAACCACTTTATCCCGGTGATGTCCCTTTAGAAGTAACTGTGTTCAGGGTTTAAAGGTCAAACAACAGAAAAAGAGTATGATGAAAGTTAAACATATTTTAATTCAATCAGAAACCCTGGAGAGGGTCCAGGGAACAGTTGTCAGACTCTCAGGCAACAACGCTTGGGCACCTTGTGTAGTCCTGAAGAAAGGCGAACTCACTGTGGTGGGCAGGAACTCAGACTCACCGTGATCCGGGATGTGTCAATGAAGCTCCTGTGGAAATGGCTCAGCGCTGCCTGGGCCTCCTCCTCTGACTTGAAACCTATGAAGCCGAACTTGCGGAACTTGCCATCTTTGGTGAACTTGAGGCTGCAGTCAGTCAGTGTGCCGAAGGCGGCAAATAGCTGCCGGAATCGCTCCTCCTTCATCTAGAGCAGAAGGGACATAGTGAGAGAGAAGCTGGGCTCCCAGGAGCAAAGGGACAGACAAGCTGGAAGCCTAGAGGTCCTGGAGGGCAACCCGAGATGAGTGGGTGGCATCATCTACTTTTTTTTTTTTAGGGTGGCTAGGTGCTGGCTCAGAGCCTGACCAGCTGAGCACCCCCAAGCATGAGGAAATGAGCACCTCAAATGGTCTCTTTCTTATTCTGTCCCCTATAAGGAAAGAACCAATTAGAGCTTCCACTTTGTGGCTCCAATACAACGGATACCCAATGGACAAAGGAAGCTATGCAAATGTTTGCTAACCATGTAATGGAGCTGATTAAAGATGGCCACACCCCAATCCTCAGCACCTGGGATTGCACTATAGTACACTGCAAAGGGAGAGTATGGAACCCTGGCTGGCCTCAAACTAGAGATCTGCCTGCTTCCCTTACCAGTCCCAACAGGGGTGCTCCATCACTTCCACAAAAAAAAAATTTTTTTTTTGGTGTGTTTGAAAACCTGGTGATGAAGCCAGGCATGGTGACACACCCCTTTAATCCTAGCAGTCTGGAGACTGTGGCACACAGATTTCATTAGAGTCTGAGGTCAGCCTGGTCTACATGGCAAGTTCCAGGCCAGCCAGGGCTACGAATGAGATCCTGTCTCAGAGAAAAAAAGAACCCTGAAATGAACCTGGGTATGGCAGGGAGACAGAGGCAGGAGGATGTCAAGTTCAGGGTCAGCCTGGGTCATAAACTAAGAGTCTGTTTGTTTGTTTAAAACTCACTCAAACCAACAAACAAAATCCCAATGGAGAAAAGCATCCTGGATCTTCTGGGTACTTCAGCACCATCAATGAAGTAGAAGGCTCTGAGTCTGAGGAGGACTAGATGGAGGAAGAGGATGGGGAGGGAATCAGAAAGCCAGGTGTTCTTAATTCTGAAGGCCGGGGGTGACAGGGTCATGAGTCAGAGAGGGCAATGACCAGCAGATCCTAAAGAAGCCTAAGATGATCTGCTGGCAGCCATGTCTGACCTGCAGCATGAAAACCATGGTGCTATCATGTTAAAGGGTTAGACACTCCAGGCAGCTGCCAGTGTCTGACAATACCTTGATATTAGACTTGCTGACCTCCAAAATGGTAAAAATAAAAACAAACAAAATACCGGTATTGTTTTGACCACTTTACCAAGAAAGTAACAGGAAATTCACATGCTAGCTATTACCATAATGTGGTTAAAAAGTCCCACAGTGTGAGACAGCTGGCTCCTACCGGCCTTACACCAGCCAGGTTTCTGTGTGTGGCTCTAGGGCAGTGGTTCTCAACTTGTGGGTCGCAACCCCCTTTGAGGCCACATAGCAGCTATCCTGCATATCAGATATTTACATTACATTCATAAGAGCGAAATCACAGTTACGCAGTATCAACAAAATAATTTTATGGTTGTGGGGAGGGGTGACCACAACATGAAAAACTATGTTAAAGGGGTGCAGCATTAGGAAGGTTGAGAACCACTGCTCTAGAGGAACATGGCCCCACCAACAGCCAAACTAAATTTGATTTGTGTGGCGGGGGGCTATGTAACCAGGCTGGCCTTGAACTTGCCATCCTCTGCCTGGGTGTAGTGAAAGCTGACAACAGGTGCTCACTACCACACTTGGCTTTGAAGTCTGTGGCTGAGCTCACCCTGTGATAGTGAAGCAGTAAGTGCTCTTCTAGTCTGCTTCCTGTTGTGACACGGCAAGACCAAAAGCAACCTGGGGAGTAAAACTGTTTACTTGGCTTGCACATGTCAATCACTGCCCACCATCCAGGAAAGCCAAGGCAGGAACTGAAGCAGGGACCACGGAGGAACTCTGAATACCTACTTGCTCAGCTAGCATTTTTATACAGCCCAGGAGCACTGGCCCAGGGGTGACAGCGCCCACAGAGGGCTGGACCCTCCCACATCAGTCACTCATCAATGGGGCACAGACTTGTCCACGGGCCAGTCATAGGTAGCTATTCATCAACTGGGGTTCCCTCTTCCTAAGTTTCTCTGGTTTGTGTCAGGTTGACCAAAATTACCCAACACAACAAGGAGGGGTACTCAGTGTGCTCTGTATCCAGCCGCCTATCACCACATGCAAGCGTTGGTTTCGTCTTTTACCCGGCACGGCACGCAGGTCCCGAATGCCTGCCGGGTGCCAGGTTCTGTGATCACGCCAAGGTGGCCCCCCCTCCACTCAAGAAAAAAAGACCACTGAACGCCGTTTCCATCACTCAGGTCCTCGGGGGCACCGCTCCACCTGTTTCCCCCGACAGTCCCGGAAGTGGGAGAGTGAACAGCGTGGAGCCATAGGGTCCACAACTGCATCGAAAGGACCCGGGTCCGAGGCACAAGGTGCGGCTGGCATCTGCCGGAGTAGGGCTATCCGGTTTGGAGCCAGGCACCCATGAGATGGCAATAACCGATGAAGGTAATTGTAACAATCGTAGCCACTTTTCCCGCTTCTGGAGTCGACAGAACAGGGTCCAGCCCCATTGGCTTCCAGACCTCATCCCTCCATCCTTCAGCCTCCTTCCCCAGACCCCCACGACCACTTCCGGGCCCCCATCCCTGGCTCTTGCTCACCCCATTCGGGAGGTTCTTCACGATCAGTCGCGACATGGCTCCCAAGTCCCCCTCGCTTCTGATTCACGCACCCCGAAACGGCGACTTCCCACAACTTTCACGCCGCCTCTCTGGGCGCCGCCATTTTTAGTGAGTCACGTGGCCTCCTCCCGGAAGTGGGTGTGGCCTCACTGGAGCCTCTCCAGGGAACTCACACCCTCAAAGGGAGGGGAAAGCCTGAAAGCCAGCATTCTACGCAGGCGCAGTTTCTCCGCCAGGTCTTGGAGCGGCCATGCCCGGCAAGGCCAGCAGGGGGCACCAATGCCCAATTCTCGAAGGATGACAGACCTCTGGGGAAAAGCAGATTCTTGCTTCCTTAATTTTTTTTTTTTAAGGCAGAGGCAGTAGAATCTCCTTGTTCTAGGCCAGCCTGATCTATAGAGTGAGTTCCAGGACATCCAGGGATACACAGAAAAATCATGTTTCAAAAAATTTTTTTTAAAGATTCATTTAGGGCCAGGCGTGGTGGTGCATGCCTTTAATCCCAGCCCTCCGGAGGCAGAGGCAGGCGGATCTCTGTGATTAGGAGGCCAGCCTGGTCTACAAAGTGAGTCCAGGACAGCTAGGGCTCTGTTACACAGAAAAACCCTGTCTCGAAAAAACAAAACAAAAAAGATTCATTTATTTATTGTGTCTACGTAATATATACGAATATATAAATGTATATATACACACATACTTGCATACATACATACACACACGTGCACACGTATGGGCACATGTGCCAGCGAGCACATATGAAGGTCAGAGAACAACATGCTGGAGTACCCTCCTTCACCTGATGGGGCTCGGGATCAACCTTAGATAGTTAGAGCTGACTCCTTAAGCCCCTGAACCAGCCCCCTTGCTTCCTCTTTAGGACAGGGAAGCTGAGGCTTAGAGAAACTGCCAGGCACGGACTCAGTGACTGAGCATGCCACATAGATATCACTGTCGGGTGTGAGTATTGGAGGTAACAGCCCTTAATTTGCAGACAGGTGAACTGAGGCCCCGAGGAGTGGAGCCGCTCCATTCAAGTCATGTAGGTTCTTGGTGAAGGCTGAAATTAGAACCCAGAGCCCCACAGTGAGTACTGACTGCTTCTACTGATAGCAACCTTGCAGGCATCCCATGGGTCTCTGAGGGACTTTTATCACCTCAGCTGCCAGCCTGATGCCTGAGTTCTTGGCCAGACTTGCCCCCGAGGGCTTTGCACCGCTGCAATCAGCCAGGGTAGTTCTTCTAAGGCTCAAGGTTTTAGAGCCTTCTCAGGACCTGCTCTTAGATAGGGAGGTTTTAGATGGAGACCCCCATTTTCTCTCCAGAAAGGCCATAGTCTGTTATGATTTCCCATCATGTCTCAGCTGCACCCCATGTCTTCCTCCAAAGCTTTTGCGATCTTCTTCTAAAAGACATTTCATGCTGTCTCCCCATACTCTTTCCTATCACTATTGGCAGCTCTTTCGAGAAAGAGTTCACAATTTGCCACTTAAAGTGTGTGCTTCTGGTTGGCAAGATGGCTTGTCAGGTGAAGGTACTTGTGGCCAAACCTGACAACTGGAATTTTTACCCCTTGGTCCCTTGTAGTGGGAGGAGAGAACCAATCTTAGAACATTTTTTTTAAATTATTTTTTGTTTGGGCATTGGTGGTGCACACCTTTGATCCCAGCACTTGGGAGGCAGAGGCAGGTGGACCTCCGTAAGATTAAGGCCAGCCTGGTCTACAGAGCAAGCTTCAGGATAGCCAGGGCTATACAGGAAAACCCCGTCTCAAAAATTAAAAAAAAAATAGCAAAATAAAAAAATTTAAAAAATTTTTAGATATATTTTGACCATGGTTTCTCCTCCCCTCACTTCTCCCAGATTTTCCCACTTCCCCACTAACCCAACTCCCAGCCCCTTCTTTCTCTCTCTCTTCAGAAAGCAAACAAAATTAAACAAAACAAAGTTAAAAAGGAGAGCAAACACAACAAACACATACACACACGCACACAAAACCCACATACACACAAAATCAGAAAGCATTGTATAGAAGCAAAACACCATCCATCATTTTTGTCGTCTGGGAACCTTGACTCTACCTGGCATCTCTATGGACATGCTCCCTTCCTGGCTGACTTTCCCTTGACATCTTGTCTTCAAGGTTCATTCGGGTCCTACATATGGTTCTCCATTTTCCTCACTAGTGTTAAATGTCTGACCCCAGTATGTTTGTGTATCAGCCTATGGGATCTGAGTGGATCCAGTTCATGGATATTGTGACTAACGTTGCTGAGAACATCTGTGTGTAAGTCTTCATGTGGATACGTGTCTCCGTTTCTCGTGAGCACAGTCCTAGAGGTGGGATTCCTAGGTCATATGTAGCTCTCTTTAGAAACTCCTGAACAAATATCTTTCCAAACTGTCTGCATCATTGCATCTTCCTGAGGATAGCGTGTGAAAATTTTCATTTCCTGTTCTACCATTTTTTTAAATTATACCTGCCCTACTTGGCTGTTACTGCAGTTTGGCTTCTCTGTTGGCTGGTGTGGGTGGCTGTCTTTGTCTCTGAACCCACTCCGACCCCTGTGCGTCAAGGCTGGCTCAGGCATGATGCCCCCGCTGAACCAACATCGCCTTCGCTGTGCCTCAGATGCAAAGAGCCTGTGTGTCCATCAGGAGTCATTGCCGGGGCTGGGAAGAAGGCTCAGCCGGGAACATGCTTGCCTTGACAGGGTGAGGACCCAGGTTAACACCCAGGACCCATGGACAGAGGCCAGCTGTGGTAGCTCGTGCTTGGAACCCCAGTGCTGCGGAGGCAGGAGGCAGAGAAAGGTGGATCTCTGGGGCTCACTGGTCTGCCAGTCTAGACTAAGGAACAAGTGAGTTCCAGGACAGAAGAGACCCTGTCTCAAAGGAGATGGACCAAATTCCTGAGGATGACGCCTTGAGTTGTCTTCTGGCTTCTACCTGCACATGCATGAATGCACCCCACTCCACCCACCCACACATACATGTGCACACACACATACATGTGTATACACACAACACACACATATACACCAATTGAGATTTTTAATCAGCTGATTTCTAAACTGCAGACAGGCAGCCTGCTCTTTCCACGTTTTATTTCCAAAGAGCCTCATCAGGCCCATCTTCCCGAAAGCTCCCTGGCGGGAGCCAGGTGGAGTCAGCAGCAGCTGTTTATTGGATGCTGATTGCCAGCAGAGCGCTGCGGGTTTCAGGCATCTAGCCGGTTTGTGAGCAGAGCCAGGTGGCCATGTATGGCCTCTGAGGGAATGAAGTAAGCGGGAGGCAGATGTGGCACTCTACAGGATTCAACAGAAGACAGTCTGAAGAGTTGTTAGCTAGAATGTGGGTGGTGGGGTGGCTAAGGATGGCCCCTCCTGAAAGGTGCCCTGGGACCTCGTGAAAAGGGGTCCTTGGCTATGTCACAAAGGATTGAAAAGTGAGATCGTCTTGGAGGACCTGGGTGGCCCTAGATCTATTTACTGACAAGTGTCCTTCGGCGGGAAGATGGAAGACAGAGATGGGAGTGGATATCACCTAAAACAGGCAAGGTGGCCACAGATGATGGGCCCCAAGGACAGCTTACTCTCCAGCTTGTCACTGTAGACCTGAGAGAAAAATGCCTCTTTTGTGGGCTCATTTGTTATTCTAGCACAGAGAGAAATATAGGTGGGTCTGGCATGTGGCTATGTCTTTAATCCCAGCACTTGGGAGGCAGAGGTAAAAGCATCTCTGTGAGCTGGGGGCCAGCCTGGTCTACATAGTAAGTTCCAGGCCAGCCAGGGGTAAACAGTGAAACCCTATTTTAAACACACACACACACACACACACACACACACACACACACACACACACACAGAGAGAGAGAGAGAGAGAGAGAGAGAGACAGAGAGAGAGGCAGACAGACAGACAGGTGGGGTAAGGGATACCTCAAGAAAGTTGAGACAAGGGCTGGAGAGGTGGTTCAGTGGTTAGAGCACTCTTGCAAAGGACACAAACTCTGTTATCAGCACCCACAGTGCTGGCTCACAACAGCCTGTAACTCTAGCTCCAGGGAATCCAACAATCTCTTCTGCCCTTCACCAGCACTGAACTCACATGGAAAAATGTACACGCAGGTACACATAACTTAATATAAGAGCTAAATATTTTTAAAAGCAGGTATAACAGCAAAGCCCACAGCACAGGGGCCAGCAGTCCCCTCCCCTACGGCCCAGGCTCTAGAGGGGAGTGGAAAGGGCAGGAGCCATGGAAGATGGAGCAGGCCCCTGTGGTGGTTGAGACAGAGCATCACCACAGAGCTGCAGAATGGTGCGTGGCTGGTTTAAATGTGATGCCGAGTCTGCATGCTCGCCTTTATTTCTCACTGCAGCCTCACACTGGGTAACCCAACCAGGGTTTGGGGGCTTGATGACTGTCTTAGTCACTGTTCTGTTGCTGTGAAGAGACACCACTACCAAGGCAACTGATAAAGAGAAAGCCTTGCTCACAGTTTCAAAGCTTGGCCATGACCATCATGACTGTCTTAGTCACTGTTGTATTGCTGTGAAGAGACACCACTACCAAGGCAACTCTGATAAAGAGAAAGCCTTGCTCACAGTTTCAAGGCTTAGCCATGACCATCATGGCAGGGAGCATGGAGGCACACGGGCAGGCATGGTGATGGAGAAGTAGCCGAGAGCTACATCCTGATCCATAGGCAGAGGGGGCAGGAAGGGAGGAGAGAGAGAGAGAGAGAGAGAGAGAGAGAGAGAGAGAGAGAGAGAGAAAAGAGGAGAAGCAGAGGAGAGGGAAGGAGGAGTAGGGTGAGACTGGGGCTGTTCTTGGCTTTTGAAACCTCAAAGCCTGCTCCCAAAGACGCACCTTCTCCAAGGCCATACCTCCTAATCTTTCCAAATATTTCACCAGCTGGGGACTCTGCGTGCAAATATGTGAATCTTTGGGGGCCAGTCTCATTCAAACCACCAGGAGCAGGAGCAGGGGTGTGCAGTTGGGGCCCAGGGCCCACGGCCCAGTGAAGGAGCAGGGATGCTTGGCTAGGGACCAGATACTAGAGTTTCACCAGGAAACTCCAAGATACACCA